GCACACACGGCCGCCCCGCACAGGACAGGCACGCACACGAGGTCCTCTCCCCCCTGCCCTGGCACACACGCCACCCCGCACAGGACAGGCACGCACAGGAGGTCCTCTCCCTGCTGCCCTCGCACACACGGCCGCCCCGCACAGGACAGGGACGCACAGGAGGTCCTCTCCCCCCGCCCTCGCACACACGGCCGCCCCGCACAGGACAGGCACGCACACGAGGCCCCCTCCCCCCGCCCTCGCACACACAGCCGCCCCAGGGGATCTATGAAGGTCAGCCAAGCCCCTCTGCTGGGGCTGACCCACCAGGGCCAAACCCAAACACTGCCCAACCCCAGGGAGGGGCCTTGTCCACAGCAGTGGGAATGGGTCATGTGGAGCGTGGCCCACCAGGAGTAACAGCTAAGAACAAAATGGCAAAAGGAAACATTTAATAACTAGGGGTAAAGGGCAGAAAGGTGCAATCCAGGCAGGCAGGTTGAGTGCAGGACATGCCACCTTCTGGGGTCTCCAGAGAAGCTGCGACAACAGAGGACGTGGGCGAGGGGCAGCACGCAGCACATCCGCGTGAGGGCTCAGCAGAACTGTGAGAAAGGGGTGAGGCCTCCAGTCTTGTGGCCACTCGAGAGCCCGCAGAGTGGGAGGCCGCACAGGTACACCCAAGGCTGGGGTCTCCACCCACCGTGCCAGAGACTCCCAGTAGGCTGGCTGGGCAGGGCCATCCCCAGTTCACACGGCCACAGAGGCTGACACCCCACCACCAGAGGACAGGGCTGGGAGGGCAGCCTGGGCCCGCTCACCCACCTTCCAGCGGTTTCCACACTCGTTGCAGACAACAAAGGTGGTCATGGGCTCATCAGAGCTGCGGGTCTGCACCTGCGGGGAAATCTGGGTGAGCTCAGCGTCGCCTCCATGCTCTGTTGCAAAGGGTGTTTGTCAACATGCGCCATGCTGGCAGCTGCTGAGCCCCTACAGGTGACTCCAGCCTTCCAGAGCTGAGCCTCCAGGGGAGGGAGACAGTGTCTATCAGGGCAGAGGCCCTTGTATGGGCCTGAAGCAGCTCAACTGCCTAGGGACCAGCAGGGCCCAGACTTGGCTAAGGGTCCCCATGGTGGGGGGAACTAGCAGGTGTCCCCAGTGGCTGTGGCTGCCTTCCAGAAGGCAGAGCCTGTTCTGACCAGCTGCTGGGAACAGGAGAGAGGCAGGCTCTGCAGACCCCAGCCCCACGCAGTCTTTGAGGGAAAGGAAGGGATGTCCTCGAGACCCCTCACGAGTGTCATCTGCCAGGCGCAGCAGCCGCCTCAACGCACTCCCCTCTGAACAGGGTCCCCGCCATCTCGTGGGGTCCACAGTCTCCCCAGCACACCTTGGTGTCCACCTCCACACCAGGCAGCAGGTGGCGCGGCCCTCCCGCCAGCGCCAACACCTTCAGGCCAGGCCAGGCCTGGCTAGGCCCTCCAACTTGAGTGCCCAGAACAAGTGGGACCCACCACCCAAGACACTGCCTCCTGGGACCCAGGGGTCCTGGGCAAAGGGGAGTGGTCCCTGAAGGTGACGGTCGCACCTTCGCCCAGTCAGGAACTGAGAGGCTCAGGAAACGGCAGCAGAGGCAAGAACAGGCACCGGATGCCCTGGAGACACCTGAGGGGTGGGGGAGGCGCCACAGCCGCTCACCTGCGTGTAGGTGCAGTTCTTCTTCCTGCACTTGCCGCAGGTGAACAGGTCTGTCTGCGTGCCGCCGGTGCGGGCCATCTGGTGTTCTCGGATGGCCTCCTTGGTCATGGCCTTGCGGATCTCCTTCAGCTCGTCACTGGCCATCTCCTGGAGCACAGGGCCAGCAGCTCAGCCCACAGCTCCAAACGAGCAGCCCTCTAGCACCTCCAACGGGGACTCACCTCCGAGGTCATCACGGCGATCTGCTGGGGCGTGATGGCCCCACACAGCACATTCCGCCGCAGGTCAGGATTCTTCGCATCCTTCAGGTTGGAGATGCGGCTCCGCACACGGTTCTTATACTTCATGTCTGTGTTCCCAACATCCCGGAAGATGCGTGCAGTGCTTAAGGATCCATCTGAGGACAACGTCACCGCCCTCCACCTACCACTTCCCTGTAGGAGGCCACGTTGGGGCGGGGGCTGGAGAGGCTCTGCCCACCACTACCTGGTGAAGAGGTGAAGGGCTGCAGGACCGAGCCTGCCCCAGGCCCACTCCCGACTGAGACCCAGCTTCAGGCTACAGTCCCAGGGGACCAAGGTCCCACCAGCAGGCAGAATCAGCTCCTCTAATTCAGATCCTCTGAGGTCCAAGGGGCCCTCCTGGGTTGAGACAGCTTGACCATCCAGGCAGGTGACCACCCAGGAGGGTGACCCCTGGACAGCTGGGCAACCCCTGGACAGTGGCATCCAGCAACCACCAGAGGGCGCGAGGCCGGGCAGCCTCGTGACTCCGCCAGAAACCTGGGCCCACAGCCCCTGCACAAAGGATATATTCCTCGATCTGAGCCGACAGGCGCTTGCAGTCCGCACCGATGGCCACATGGTCGTCTGCAAGAGGGAGCCCTGACTAGCAGCCCCCACTGGTTCCTCCACCTGCCACCCCTTCTGCCTGTACGAGACCCTGGCAGCTCAGAGGGGACACCCGTGTCCCTGGGAGAGGCCCACAATCCAGGCACAGGCCCCAGGCCCCTGCCAGGGACACGGCAATGGCTGGGGGAGGAGGGTGGTCCCTCCAGAAGCAGGCCTCCTCGGGCAGGCAGGGGCCTGGGTCACCCGGTGGATGCAAGCGGGTGTCGGGAGCCAGGACCTGCCGCACTCACGGTCCGTCTGCAGGGCAGCGGTCAGCATCTCACGGCACTTGTTGCGCACGGCATCACAGGTGACGGGCACTGGGGGAAACGTGGTGATCCT